TGTGATCATTTTTCTCTATACGATTCTGTCATTGTATCTTTTGTTTTCTTCCTAGAGGAATTGACCTACTACTAGCATATCATGGGATGATGTTAAGTCCTCTGAACCACTTTCCATCTTTTTGCACTCTTCACAGCTCCCTAATTCTTTGTTATTAAGGTATGAGGAAAAGACTACCTTAGAGTCACCACCAGGCTATCATTAATTGTCTCCATGTTCCTCTGGTTCGGTTTCCATACTCTTCGAGCATGTCAAGCCTGCCAATGAGTGTGCACAATAAAGAAAGAAAAAAATGTGCAAAGAAGAAGAAAGAAAACATGTTGCAAAAGAAAAAAAGGAAAAAAAAAATCATTAATTGAGGGGAGCTCCGCCTTTACTCAACCAAATACCCCCTTGATTCCATTAATCCTAGTGGTTTGACTTTCCTTAGTTGTGCTTAGATTCTCTTGTCAGAGGTCTAGCTTTCATATCACTACTAGGATTTGAATCTAGTGTTTGTCGAACTCCAAGACTTACACACACACTTTTATCATGGGATCTATGCTTTTCACATAATGCATCACTTTCTTTTGAAAGGAATCCTCTAAAGGCTGTGCACATTGTGTTTTCAAGTAATTGTGCTTCTTGGAAAATCTTGTGTGTTCTAAGGTACAACTCTGAAATTCCTTGCTTACTCCACCATATTATTTTTGTCGTTTTCTTCTTGTTCACTATTTTCAGTGTTTGTGGTTGCATTTAGTGAGGGGGAGTTTGGTTAATCGTTATCATGTCATTGCTTGTGTGTTTTATGCTTTTAGTTTAGTTGTTTGAGCTTCCTTTGTCAATTTGTGACAAAAAGGGAGAGATTGTTAGGTTTTTATATCTCCAAATCGCTTTTATTTCATGTTTTCCATCTCATGCTTCAAGATAATCTTGTCATATGTTTATTGCTTTTTCATATACTCTTGTGGCACTAATGGTTGTTTTGGAGATTGTAGCACTAATAGTTGTTTTGCAGATCTTGACCTTTAGAAAGAAGTTTGCTTTTGTTGGCTGTAATGGGTTGGGGTGATTACGATTTTATTTGTTAGATGTGTTTTTTCACGGCATTGCCAAATGGGGAGATTGTTATGTTTTTATTCTTGGAAATCTCGTTTGACAAAACACTTTTCAGTTGTAATTATATTCGATCTTTTATTTCATTAAGACTTTGAGTTTTATATGCAAATCTAACCTGAATTATGCCTTGCAAAGAGATGTTTCAGAAGTTAATTCTTTCTTTGTTTGCCACTTTGCTGACTATGTCGGGGATCGAGCTACCCAGTCAGCTTGGTAGGTCTAGGGCAGCGCCCAGGCAGGGTTGAGGGGCAGCGGCCCCGAAGCCAGGAGTAAAATTGCAGTTGAAATTGCTTGTCCGCTCGAGCGGAGAATCTTTGATTCTAGAAGTTTAAATTATCTGCAAAAGTACTAGAAGTTGTGTTTTTGCGCTCGAGCAAAACTTTTTGCGCTCGAGTGGCCATTCCTGCGATCGAGCGGAGATCGTGGATTAGTTTTCTATAAATATGTGGTTTTATCAAATTTTAGAGTTACGGCTTCCAGATCTTCTTATTGGATATTAGGGTTTATATCTGGGGCTATTTTGCTTGGTTTCTTTGATGTTTAATTGAGTATTCAACTCATGGTTTAAGAAGTATACATCAAAGGATTGTTTGTTTATTCAATAAAAAGAGAGTGTTGTTCTTCGGTGGATTCCGTGAAATTTGGGCTTAAAGCTTTGGTGGATTCCGGAGTGACTTATCGTCATGATTCGACATCGACGTTGTGAAATCAAACGTTGGGCAAGACAATTCCGAGGTGAAGACGGGGTTAGAAGAGGCACATAAGGGTCAGTTTGATTTGGCCGTGGATATGCTAGGTAATTGAGAGTACACTTGTGTAATTTATTTATATCTTCTTAGTAGATTGTTTTGTGACTTTTGCCTGTGATTTTTTATCACAATTGGAGGCGCTCCAATTGTGATTTTTCCACGTAAAATTGTTGTGTCGATTTGTCTTGATTGTTTGATTGGGATTATTATTTACTACTTAAAATTAATACATAATCACAAATCAACTTCTAAGGAATTTCTAGATTTTTCACAAACTTTAATCTTTATCAAACGACTAGAGATTTGACAAGCAAGGATTGGCAATGTGAGCTCCCTATTATTTGGTGTAAGACAAACATATGTGCAAATTTTCTTGCAAAAAATGCTCTTCATTGGACTACTCGGCAAGAGTTTATTGTTATAGTTCCTTCAGCTTTGTCGAGTTTGCCAGCTGTAAATACTTAAGGCATTGTTTGGGAACAAAGGTTAGAGGCTATTTTAGCCTCTTGAAATTTTTTTTAAAAAAATGGTTGAAAAGCATTATGGTTGGGAAGCTTGGGCACGTGATTCCCAACTATATTTAACAGAGGGCAAAATGATGATTTTGGCCTTTGAATATTTGACAAACCCACAACAGCAGCAACAATTTAAAAAACAACTCTCTCATCTCCCTCAGGCGTTGGAAGTTAGTAAAGAAAACCGTTCTTTTTGTTGTTGACAACGGGATCTGCAGCGGCTAACCACGTTGCCGATTCTCTTTGTTGCCGACCGTTGAACACTTCTAACAGATAAATCAATCGTTCTGATTTGTATTCTTCCTCCTCTTTTATTAGATTTTGGCTTCTTTTTCCTCTCGCTGCACAGATCGTAATTTTTGTAATTAAAAGTGAAATTTCTACAAATTTGTAATTTTTTTTTAATTCGTAATTATTAGAATCAAAAGTTGATTTTATAATTAAAAGTCAATTTTTATAATTAAAAGTCAAATTTCTTACAAATTTGTATAATGTTTTGTAATTCGTAATTTGTATAATTAAAATTCAAATTTTTTACAAATTTGTAATTTTTTTAATTCGTAATTTCTATAATTAAAAGTCGGATTTTTAACAAATATGTAATTTTTTATTTTAATTCGTAATTTCTATATTTTTTTAGTTTTTAATTTTGATTTGGACAAAAATTTAAATTTTGTCTGTTGGTAATAGTAGTGGTTGTCAAATTCCTGCAGTGTTTTTTTTTTTTTTTTGGAAAGGAGCTGCACATGGTAGAGGGCATTTTGGTCATTTATTATTCTAACATCATTTCAAACTCATTTTCAATATAATAATTTAACAAGGAAGTCAACTTGTCTTCCCAAATACAAAAACTAAAATAATTTACTAAAATAATTAAATAATAAAAAAACTTAAAAAGTAGTCACTTATCAGAAGAGGCCCATGTCTAATCTTGTTTGGTTTGTTGTTTCCTTTGGCTTCAATCCTGTTTGCCCCAATTTTTTTTTTTTTAAAGGATGGTTGTATTAATTGAAATCCATAGTTTAGATTAAAAAGAGAAGAAATTTCGTAACAAGTCCTTTCATTGTGTTTTTATTTTTTATTTTAAAAATATTTTAATTCAAAAAAAAAAAAAAAAAAAACAAAAAATTATAAAATCTCACACTTCTAGAATTTTCATAAATTAGCTTCAATAACTTCAAATTTTCCTAATTTTTAAATTTTTTTTTAGCATAATTTCATATTCAATATTTATTTTGTTTGATAGATTTCAATGGATAGGTTCCAACAATATACTTTTTATTAAAAACTATATACAATGAAAATTATGACATTAAAAATAAATAAATAAAAATTAGCTTGATAGTTCAACAACTTACCATTAAAGTGAGTTGCCAGAGGGTGGTTTGGGATAAGTTTATTTAGTGATTTTTTGACTTTTTATAAAATGATTTGTAGAAAATATAAAGGCAACATGACAACTTATAACAAATAAGTTGCTTATTTGTTATATTGTACAAATTAGTTTGAATTTTTTTAATAAAATTTTAAAAATAGGACTTCACTCTTGATAGCTGGATATATGATGCAAATGAGGGCTCATCTGTTATAGGATTTCAATCAATTGCAAAGGTGGTGCATAACATATACCAAAGTGACATGCTTAAACATCGAAACAAAGATAGGACCAGTGTTACCAAAGAACACTAATACCCTAGCAAACATAAACAATGGGTCATAATGGTCTTAGATATGTGTTGGCACATGATTAGTTTGGGAAAAAAAATAAAAAGCCTCATAGAAGTATCATGACTAATGACATGTTTCAAGAAAGGAAACCTAATCACAACCTTCACCCTCAATGGTGTATCATGTGTAAGAGGAATAAGGAATCTTTGGATTATCTATTCTTGCACTTGCATTGCCCTTTGGTTTCGGTCTTATGCAATCGCCTTTTTCAATTAGTGGATATTTGTTGGGTGGCTCCAGCTACTTGTGAATAAATGAGAAATCAAAAGCATTGTGGAATTGTGTAACATTCTTATTTTTTGGGGTTATGCGGTTGGAAAGCTAGGGTTTTTGAGGATAAGTTCAAGGACATTGAGTCGTTATGGAATAAAGTGTGCCATTTGGCATCTCTTTGGGCTTCCGTTTCTTCTCCATTCAAAGAGATTCCTCCTTTTTTTATTTTAGAGATTGTTGTATGATTTGTAGTTTGAACTTCAATTTGCTTTGCCTTTTGTTTTTTCTTTTCTTTTGGTAGACTCATTGTCCTTCTCTTGTACTACTCTCCCCATTAAAATAAAATTTACTGTAGACTTAAATTCGTGTATTTGTAAATTATACAAGTCTGCCCCTATCGTACCGCAATTCAGAACATGTAGCATACTGCGTTCCTGCTCCTATTCCTGTTCCATGCACTGGAACGATCCATGTTCTAGCCTCTAGGTAATATAGGATAGGACTAAGTCACAAAGATTGGGACAGTAAGTGTCAAGCCCTTAATCTGACAACTTCGACATCGGCATTGATGATGGCGTTAGGCTAGAAAATTAGAGACCCTTTACCAGCGCTTTAGCCAACATCAAATCGAATGAACTTATTCTAGTTCTTTCACTAACCACGAAGTTTAGTGAACTCTAAGAGAGTAAATGCTTGGGCAGTAAAAGCTTTGCACAATGCCAGTAAGATGTTGAATGAGTAAGACCGACCAAATTAAAAAACTCATGAACAAAATTAGGAGTTTCAAATGTACACACACACATACACAAAAATATATATATATATATATTAAACCTGCAGAGTCTTATGCTCTCTTTTGAGAATCTTTGTTTCAAGAGAGTAATCTCTCTCTCTCTCTCTCTCCCTTAAAATCTCCTAATAGTTTATTAGAAACAAGTAGCAGAGTGACAAGTCACATTTACATGCATCTTAGCATTATAAATATGTCTTATCTTTTTAGCACTGAATAACTTGCGTTGTGGATAAAAAGCCCTTTTGTATAGTAACTTTTTCCATCTAAATGAATATAGGTTTCCTGGCATGCAAGACCAAATTAAAATGGCCTGTCCAGTTTGTTGTAAAACTTGCAGCTGTAAAGCATGCTTGAAAAATCAATCTAAAGAAGATGAACACAAGGTTTGATATCAGAGTTGTTTTAATTGTGAATCATGGTTTGCTTCTTTGAATACTGGATGCTGATTATTCTATCTATATACAACATTGTTTCAGGATCATTTTAGGAATGATGAAAAGAAGGTTGACAAAGTTCAACAATTGCATTACCTAATATATATGCTTTTGCCTGTGCTTGAACGAATAAATCGAGATCAGAGCATTGAGCTGGAGTTAGAAGCAAAAATAAAAGGTATAGGTGATGATTTGCTCTAGAATTTCAGACAACTATTCTTCTTGCTGGTTTTGCACATTATATTTGAGTTTGAGCACGTGGACTTAATCCTCAACAGGGAAAAAAATATCTGAAGTCCAGGTTCAGCAGGCTGAATTTAGTTGCACAAAGCTACACTTCTGGTATGTTTATACTGCTGGAAAGTTTTTATGTAATTGAGAAAGTTTATGTAATTTCCTTGTGTTTTCTATGTTGCATGATTTGACTTATGGAGCAGCAATAACTGCCAAACATCAGTGGTGGATTTCCATAGAAGCTGTGGCCATTGTTCATATAACCTTTGCTTAAGTTGTTTGGAGCTTTTTCGGGGGTCCTTACACAGAGGTCTGAAAGCATTTAACTCTAAATGCCGTAATAAAAGTAAAGCTTGTATTTCTGATGACAAGGTACCATCAAAGATGGAAAAGACAAGCACGTCTAGGCAGGATGGTAGCAGTAGATACCTTGCTTCTCCTTCAATATTACCCAAGTGGAAAGCTTGTAATGATGATGGCAGTATAATTTGCCCGCCCATGGCTTTCGGTGGTTGTGGTGATGGCCTCCTTGATTTGAGATGTGTATTCCCCTTCAGTTGGACTAAAGAGCTGGAAGTAAGTGCAGAACAAATAGTTTGCAGCTACAATGTTCCGGAAACTTTAGATCCTTCTTCATGTTGCTCGCTATGTACGAGCATGGACAACAAAGCCATTGAAAGCAAGCTGTTGCAAGGAGCAGCTTCAAGAGAAGATTCCAGTGACAATGTTCTGTACTACCCCACTGTACAAGATCTTCGTGATGAGAACCTTGAACACTTTCAAAAGCACTGGGGTAAAGGTCATCCTGTTATAGTTCGTAGTGTGCTCAAGAGTACACCAGATCTGAATTGGGATCCAGTTGTTATGTTCTGCACTTACCTTGAGAAGAACAGGACCAGATCACGAAATGATAAAGAAACCAATAAAGCTACAAATTGTTTGGATTGGTGTGAGGTCAGTATTTAATCATTAATTGTTATGTTATATCTTTAGGTGATTTACTTGTTTTGCTCTCTATTGCGAAATCACCGGAGGATAATGCTATTACCCTCTTTCTTTCTCATGGATATGTGTTTTGTGTGTTACTTGATTTATAAAAATAGGTAACAACTGTCTTTTGTGGTCTCAAGTTCTTCTTGTTTTGTACGATTCTTCTTACTGGAGGAACTCTAGTCGTATATAACTGAATAGATGTTTTTTTTTGATTCATACCAAATGCAATGTCAATTTTTTATTTTATTTTATTACTATCCTGATGTTGTTGCAAGAATTTCGTCGCATTGCATTATGATCTTTAGAAGTAGGTATCATTTTCTGATTCATATCAAATGCATTGTCTATTTTTTATTGTATCTTATTAATATCCTGATTTTGTTGCAAGAATTTCATCGCATTGCATTGTGATCTTTAAAAGTAGGTGTCATTCATATATTTTGTTTCAATATCTTGCAGATAGAAATATGTAGCAAGCAGATATTTATGGGGTCTCTGGAGGGGCGGTCACATGCAAATATGCGGTATGAGATGTTGAAATTGAAAGTCTGGATTTCTTCATATTTATTTCAAGAACAGTTTCCAGAACATCATGCTGAGATCATCCGTGCTCTACCACTTCAGGAGTACATGAACCCAATGTCCGGTCTTTTTAATTTGGCTCTAAATCTGCCACAGGATTCATCAAAGCCTGAATTAGGTCCTTGTATAAATATCTCATTTGGCAGCCCAGAGGATTTAATGCAGGATGATTTTGCAACAAAACTTTGTTATAGTTCACATGATGTGGTAAGTTTATTTCCCTCCGATTGTGTGCAGTTATGTTCAGTATTTAAGAATTATGAATTCTTTAGTTGATTTTGGGTTCATTTCATCTTCGGCATATCTATAGTGTCATGGACAGAACTACATACAGGCCAAAAGGGGGCATGCGCCCCTGAGTTTCCCAACAACACCAACATATATATTGCTATAGATACATGAAAGATGAGAAATACTTTGTTTCCCACTATTGCCCATGTACAAAAGAGACGGGAAGTATATAACTTCTGAAATCACATCACTTTCTCTTGTTTCCCATTGGAACTTGATGTTTGTATCTTAAATTTCAAGAATTTCCATTGGTTATGCATATATTTTTATTTGTAGATTCAGGGATGATATACTAAACAACATCATCATCCAATGCATTCCAATTCTCAAGGGCTTTGGCAGATGTAGCTGATATTTGCCTTTCATTCTATTTGCTTTGTGACCGCAGGTTAATATTCTGGTGCATACAACAGATGTTCCAATTTCCACAGAACAGCTTTCCAAAATTAAAAATTTAATGAAGAAATACAATGCTCAAGATCATAAGGATCCTACTAGGAATACAACTGATCAGAAAAAGGAAAATGAAGTAGAAGAAAAATCATCAGTGCTTAGTGACAACACGGAAGAATCAGGTTTGCAGGATATGATCGAAGAAGGGTTGCCCTTACCTAATGGAGTTGCTAAAGTGTCTTTGTTCACTGGTGACTCACAAAAAACCTGCAATTTAAGTGTCAAAAATGCAAATATGTCCCGTGCCAGAGGACATGATTCTGTATCTGATTCTGAAGCCTCAATCCTTTGCTCTGGAACCATTCAGAGCTCTGAAGAATCAGATGATCAGAAATTTCTCCGAGATCATACTGAAAGCACTAGTTGTTCTGGGGAGGAACCAGTTGCTGAATTTTCTGGTGCCCAATGGGACATTTTTCGCCGACAAGATGTCCCAAAGCTTCTAGAATACCTTTCAAGACACTCTAATGAGTTCAGACACACATGTTGCTTTCCAAAACAAGTAAGTTAGGTCCAGAAAGACTATTTCTCTTTCTAAAGCAGATGTGAGAGTCAGGGCTGATTTTCTTCTACATTCACCACAGGTTGTTCATCCAATTCTTGATCAGAGTTTTTACCTTGATGCAACTCACAAAATCAGGCTTAAGGAGGAATTTAGTAAGTTTTAAGTTACATTTAAGTTACATGCATTTCATGTTTTTGTTACAATCAATCATAAACTGGTTAAAATTACCTAACATTTTACTGCCTCCAGATATTGAACCATGGACGTTTGAGCAACACCTTGGAGAAGCTGTCATTGTTCCCTCTGGATGTCCATATCAAATTAGAAAACTGAAGGTGACATGTGAACACTTATTGGCAATTCGCTACTTTTTTTTTTGTGGTATGCGTGTGTGTGCATGTTTTTGTTTCTCTCTCTGAGTTTTGAACTGTAAGGAACTTTATGATTTAGTGGAAAACCCAATCATGCAGCAATAAGTCAAGTAATTGGAAATTGGAATAAACACAATCTTTTTTCTTTTTCTTTTTTTCTGATAAGTTTGAATCAACCCAACATATTGTGTACATATATTTCTCTTGTGAATGTCCAAATTATTACATGACGCTCCTGGTGCTTGCTATTCTTTCTATAAACACATCGGGTGTGTTTGGTCTGTGTTTGTAGAGTAGTTTTTGAGATAAAAAATACGAAAATTTGTTTGGTTTGCCTTTTTTCAGAAATGGTTTTGGAAAATTATTTTGGGGAGAGAGTTTTAAAAAAAATGATTGATTTGATGTGTATGAGAGAGAGTGTGATTTTGAAAAGTAGGTAACCAAACAAAATTTTGAGATTTTTTTTGGAAAATTTTGTTTGGTTTGATTACTCTTGAAAATTTGTTTGTAGAGAATTTTTTTCAAAATTTTTTTTGAAAAACAAACCAAACAAGGCCATCTTTTTTAAAAAACTTATCCTGAGAGCAGCCAGTTCGTGCAAATAATGCCAATATAACCCATCCAATGAGACTAAACTGGCCATACATTTTTCTGAGTTTCTTTTCATTTGTAAAGTGATTGTTAAAATTTGATGGTACTAATATTTACATAGATAAACTCTTTGATTTCATTGAGCCTGTAGTGTAGCCAACAGATATTATGATTGTGCTTCTCAATTTTGATCCTTCATTTTGGCATTGGTATGTAATTTGCATGAAGATTGTGTAGCTGCATGTCTTTTAATCGCAAGAACTATATTTTTTTACATTAAAATTTTGTAAAATTGGTGCATTGTAACCTGCAGCCCTGCGTTAATGTCATTTTGGACTTCATCTCACCTGAAAATGCTACTGAGTGCATCAATTTGATTGATGAACTTCGTCTACTTCCTGTACACCATCAAGCCAGGAAAAATATGCTGGAGGTAAACGTTGTAACAGTATTAATGAGTATCCTCAATAGTTATCCTTGTGGAGTAAGTCAATAACCAGAAAATGGTTTTTAACAGGTGAAGAAAATGACCCTCTGTAGTATTTGTACGGCAATCAAGGAAATCCATAATCTTACAGGTGCAGAGTAAGTAAGCCCTATTGAATCATGTGATTCTTTGAGCTTTTGTGTCTTACTTCTCTGGATTGTATTGTCTTTGTTGGTTAGTCTTTGTGCAGTCATCAGGATATAGGATGGTACTCATCAATATGGTTTTTAATAACATTTTCTTTAAATATCTTATTTTTTAATAACATTTATGTTAAGCGCCTGGTTTTTGGCACTCAGTGTTTTGTTCTGTTGACCGCTTTATATATATCACATGTTGGTTTCATTTGCAACCATGAATTATCTTTTAGGAGGGATTAGGTGATGGAGTTATGATTGAATGGAGAAAAAAGGTTTGCACAATATATAAATGTGTAGGGTGTGTGGAAGCAACTATGAGGTGAGAAGAGAAGTTCGAAAGATGAACTTTCTTATACAGCTTTTCTTGGGATGTTGCGATTCTTTTAGTAGTCTGAGTAAATACTAAAAGTCTGGGCAGTTGCATGAATTCAACCATGTTGTCTTCTTAGTATAGTATGTTGGTAAATCCTTTTTTTTTTAACGATTGTTATCAGGTCAATGTTTTCAAAACTTTCTTTGTTTCGAGGAGATCTTGCTATAAATTACACAGTAACAAGAAAGTTCAAAGCCACTATTTGGTGTAGCTTATTGAGCTACTTATAGCTCTTTTTATTTTTTTGTTTTGGGAATCTGTCATAGTATTTGGTGCAACTTTTACTTACAACTTATGAGATAGAAATAACTTAAATAAGCTAAAAAAGTTGATCATCTCAAAATTGGGGGAGAGGTGCTTTTTTAACTTCTATTTATAATTATCAACTTTCAACTTGAGAAAAACTATTCCACCAAACAGGCCCAATGTCCCATCCAGTCACTAATCTAGGAAGGACAGTAAGCTTACGAAGTAAGAACTGATATTTTTGAAGGGATAAGTTGCTCAGCGTCTGATCCACCGGTTAGCTTTTTACTTTTACGACTTGTGTTTTCATTTTGTTTCTTAAATAGCTTGCATTCTGTGCACAAGTTTTGCTTCAGCTTATGCTTTCCCTCTGTTGAAACCCCCCTCCCATCGCCCCTTTTCTCTCATATCTTACATTAGTTAATCCTCTATTAATTAACCACTATAGAATCCAAACTTCACAGATTGGGATCTGCTTCTACTAATTTTCTTTTTGCTATCTACATGATTTGCAATGTTTTAGTCGGTGAAATAATGTTCACGCATTAATGTTGTCGCTTGATACATTACATTCCTAGAATGTTGTGACTTTCATGTTGTAGTTGCCACCCCTACATTCCTTCAATCAATGATAGATTTCTGGTTTGATTTCCTTGAAACACAGGCATTTCTTTGTATAAAAAAAGTTTTTTTTTTTTTTTTTTTTTTTTTTTTTTTTTTTTGTTGGTGTTGACCATGTTGCTGGATTGTTATGTTCATGTTTCATGTTTCTAAATAGACCAATAACGTATAATCCCAAAAAAAGAAAAGAAAAGAAAAAAAAGAAAATTTTGAAATCCAGCTCTCGAAAGTATGAGCTTATGTCATAACAAGAAGAGTGAAACATGATTCAATATGATCAATGGGCAAGACTTTTGGTGGTCAAGGAAAAACCAAGCTCCCCTTTGGTTCTCTTTTAGAATTGTAGTTTTAATTAAAAAAATTTAAAATTCATAATCAAACATACAAAACTTAAAACTCAATTCAAAACCTATTTTTACAACGCATAATCAAATTCAAAATTCTTTTCAAAACTCACAATTAAACTTTTTTTCAAAACTTTACTTTTTTTTATAAAAAAAAAATCAATTTTTTTTTAAAATTATTTTTAGAATCATAATTTGAATGTGGAGTTATATTTTGAGTTTTGAGTTGAGTCTCGAAAAGAGAAAATTTGTTTGGTATGAGTTTCAAAAAAAGTTGAGTTTTATTTTTTTAATGTGTATTGTATTTTATACAATTATGCGCTGTATTTTTTTTAAAATATTTCAGTTGTATGTTTTAAAAAATATTTTAAAATTTTAAATTTTCTATTTTAAATATTTTATTTTATTTTAGTTTTTTTAATATTTTTTAAAATTTAAAAAAAAAAAATTGGATCACCATATGTGTCTAAATCAAAACAAATTATTTGACCAATACTTAAAAAAATAACAAAACTTATTTTTTAGAAAAAAATATAAAATAAAAAATAATTTTAAAGAACAAATGTTTTTTTTTTTGAATTTTTTTTAATAGAATTTTGAAAAAAGTTTGGTTATGAGTTTTGAAAAAAAAAATTTGAATTGAGTTTTGAATTATATATTTAATTATGATTTTAGTGTGGAGTTGTATTTTAAGTTTAAAATATTTATAATAAAAAAATAAAATTTCTTAAACATTTTTAAATATTTTTAAAAAATTAATCTAAAAAATTTCAAAATATAACTCAAAATTCAAAAATTCAAAACTCAAAAGTCATTTCAAAATTCAAAATTTAGAACTCAAAACTCTCTTCAAAACTCATAACTAAACAAATTTTCTCTTTTCAAAATTCAAACTCAACTTAGAATTTTACATTTAAATTATAATTTCACACTCAAATTATAAATTTAAAACTAAACCAATCAGAGCCCAAATTTGTGGGTGGCTTGCACTAACCAAACAGCAAGGCCGTTGGAAGCAGTTACATATCTCTGAAGTGACAGTTACTTTTGTCGGGACAAAAACAAAGCAAGAGTGGAAATCTGCAATAGTTGGTAGATTGTTGACAGGTACATGCTGGCAGCCCAAGAACACGGGGAATCCTTATGATTATCTTTATCCCATGGAGAAAAAGGGGCTCTAGTTTGGCAACAGTTAAAAATGTTGCTCTTTTTTATAAATTTTTGTCTTTTATAAAAATAAAAAATTTAAATTTTGTGTCTAAATTTTTACTTTTCAACTCTTGTCAATTATTGAAGTATTTAAAAATTGAATTTATTTTGAAAATATCTAAAACACAATTTGCTAAAAACATGAAGGAAAATGTCTCGTAACTCAAATTTTGTGATTCAAAAGTGGCTCAAATGGCCAAAACGACGTCGTTTTGGCCATTTTTATGTTGTTCTGTACTCAAAACGACGTCGTTTTGGCCATTATTTTAAATCTGTCTAATGTATTAGGGCCCTGTTTGGTAAGACTTATTTCTAGCTTATTTCAGTTTTTAACTTAATTTAAGCTATTTTGATATGTTTAGTTCAACTTAATAATACAGCTTATAACTTTTTATAAGTCAAAAATCAACTTATTCTTTGAGTGAGGGAGGAAAAACTTAATTTATAAGTCAAAAATCAGCTTATGTTTACAATTATAAGTTATAAGCTGTTAGACTATAAGTTATAATCACTTTCTCACAGCTCAACCAAACAGGGCCTAGGACTTAAAAATGAAAAGTTTTTAAAAAAATCATTAAAGGCAAAATAAATAAATGCAACAAAACCAGAAACAAAAACAAATTGCTAAAAAAAGTAATTATCGAACCCAACCCCAATATATTTTTTGATCTCCCAATCTTGCAATTCTTTTTTTTATTCCCTAATGCTGTGTTTGGTTGGGGTTTTTGGGGTGGGATTTGAAAAAGGAATGAGAAATGTAATCCTATTTATGTTTGGTTATAATAAAAAATATATTGAAAAAGAAAGGGGGTGAGAAATAAATAAAGAAATAGGAGACCTTTTAGGACATCAATTCTATTTTATAACCAACACAACCAAACATAGTTGGGATTTGGAATTCTATTAATTCTTTCTCCTTTTCCTTTCATTTCCATTTCCCTTCCCAAATCTCCCAACCAAACACAGCGTAAAATGATCTCAAATGGTCCTTTCCCATATATGTTCTACACTTATCCACTCCAACCCAATTCCAATCCAAGATTGAGAATGCCTCCTCAAGTTTCTCCCCCTTAAACCTTAAGACAGACCAAAATTTCACCCTCTCTCTCTCCCAATCATAATCCAAAGTGTACCCCACCAAATACTCCTACCATGAGACAGAGATACGAGACTAGATCCTTTGTCCAAATTTTCTAATCCAAATTAGATCTCTCACACACAATTAAATTCATAAAAACTCAATCATCAAACCTAGAGAGATTCCTCATGTAATAAAAAAAGACTGAAACAAGAAAACAAAAAAAAAAAATGAGAACATAGAATCCCGTGGACATAGATACATCCAAAATAACCAATCACATGTGAGTCAGTAGGCAAACACTTCCACAAAGGAGATTGAAGGTTCAAGCCCCCATAGGGACCCTATTGGCAACCTTAAAGCTCAATAAACTGACATCTTGTAAGCTGCTCGGGCTCGGGCTAAATTCCCCAACCCCACCTCTTCTCAGTTCAAGTCAAGTTAGATTAAATTATACAAACTGCAATTTATACTCCTCAAAAAAGATACATCTAAAGAAGTCTTATCACCCCAAGTGGTACCACATTTCACTGAAACAACCCTCCAAAATCTCTAACAAGCAAATCTCCAAAACCATTTACGAAGGGTACTTTTACTTAGCATGACATAACCTCCTCTCCTCTAGATAATATTGCCTCCTCCAAACCTGAAATCTTACCGAATCCCAAATTGCTTTAAGCTTTAAAGGAAGACTACACACAAATCCAAGTAAGATGAAGGGAAAACAAATAACACCAGTCAAGAGTAGAAGCATGACATAAAAGCCAATTAATATCAACCATGAAAAAGGTCACTCTTTAATTGTTGCAAGGTCATCATTATACATAAACCAACATCAACCAAAACATTTAATTAACATATCCACAAATAATCAAATTTACCAGTCTTCAATGGGAGAAGAAAATTAACTGAAATTCAACAAAAAAAGAAAATCAAACAAAATTCACCTCATTTATTTCTTTTGTTGCTCCTACTTTTCACTTCTCGGAGGAAGGCTAATAATTTCTTGTGGGGAAATGAAATACTAAATACAAGATTTTCCTCGTAAAACTAATAGAAAGGCACAAAATAATGAGTCAGAGCAGCCTAAGAGACGCCTCAGAGTTAATTTCTCAAGAATAATATCCAGTTTTGTGTTTTACAATGTCAAAATTGTTATGGAGAAACAGCAACAGACAAAAGCTTTTTAGGGGGCCATAAGACCTTCAATCGTATACGAGAGTGACTTAGCCCAGTCGGCTTTGAGAAGCAGTGTTTGTAGAGTGTGCATCACATCATAGTCCGGATCAAGCTTCCGTTGCCAACCCTACAGAAAATATAATAGGCACCAAAAGCCAAACTGAATTACACTTTCTACTTGTAACAACAAAATTTACATACAATATATTGCATCGTCCACATATAAGCAATATAACTTAAACTATGATATAGAGGACACATTTCCCCAATGAAAATTGGCAAAGTCAGACATAGGAGTTGTTTGGTGCAGATTATCTGAGATGCTTATAGATTTTTTTTATTATTATTATTCTGGAAGCATGTATCAGACTATTTGGTGCAACTTTTGTTTACAACTTACTAAGCAGAAATAGCTTAAATAAGCTGGAAAAATTGATTATCTGAAAGTTGCAGGAGGGGTGCTTTTGGCTTCCAATTTCAACTTTTAGCTTACAATAAGCTGTGCCCAACAAACCCGTAGTACCAGTTTTCGACATGCACTTAGTAATATACTTATTTTATAAAATTTAGTCCATCAAAGTTTACTTGGAAATTGTGCATGTGTTTTGCATAGTCAAATACATATATGGTGACCAATTTCATCATTGTTTCGCTATTGACGATGTTTGTACAAAAACACGAAATGAACCACAGATAAGACAGAAAATTCAAAAATACAAACATTGTCAAACATATCCCTGAATTCTAGATTATCGGGAGTTGTCAATGCTTACAACTCATAACATTTAAAGTACCAATAAAACATCAGTTTGATTTAATTACATCGCAAGGAAATTATTGGTCTGACTTACACTTGTAGTTAAATTGCAAATCAATCATATTCTTAGCACTTGGTATGAGTCATTGTACTAGCTAAGATAAGTAACAGTTCTTGTAAGTTGTAACACGGCATTTTCTAGAAGTAATAAATTCAAAATCAAATAGTTTCATAAAATATTCATATGTACTAATATAAAAGCCTTTGTTAATAAAAGTTTCTAAAACCAATGACCGGTTGCAAATATTATTTTCTAGAAGTAACAAATTTTGGCATTCTTAAATTCCAATAGTTCCAAATAAATAAATAATATTCCAATAGTTTCTTAATGTACACACATAAAGAAACTATTGGAATGCTTCCCGATTGAAATGCTTCCCGATTGAAAGCCTATCTTAACTACCAACAGTATAGAAACTAAAAACAGGTAATATGCTTCAAAAATAGAAACAGATGGCAATCACATCTAGTAATAATACATATGAAAAACATGGCCATTTATCTTTCCACATTGCAGGGTGAATTGCACCAATGTTGTGGAGAGAATTGCCATGATGACATCATTATTCCAAAATCAAAAGAAAATGGCACAGACAATAAATATTCCATTATGACATCATTTTGTCAGGTTTATAGCATAGAGAAGAAGTTAAATAATATTAGGACTCCACATTTGCGGAAAGGGAATGAAGAAATAAGAAAACTAAAATCCCAGAGAAAATATTGGCGTGAGGGTCCCACAGTAGAAACCATTGTCCAGTAAGATGTAGTGGAATGGAACCCCAAATAAATATATATATATATATATATATAGAACCAAATTTACTTATTAAAAAAAAGGTTATAAAATAAGGGGAACCAAAACAGGAGAAATCTTGAAGGAAAAAGAGGAGAAGAAAACAACCAACAACAAAGCTAACAATTTGATTTTGACCCTATAAAAAATTTCAACCTGTAGTGGGTCATGTCATATATCTACTTCTTCCCCCTTCTAATAATGAATCAACCACACTTAAACTAATACAACTGAAAGTAGAGAAGATATTACCTCAAGAACCAAAGTCGTAACCATCACAGTGCAGACATTGCCGTCAATATTAACTCTATGATGCCTAACTTTCTCGAGTACTTGCTGCATGCACTCAGCAGGATGGACCACATCACCTTCTGGAGTACCCCAGAAATCAAATGACTCTTTCATGTCCTGTTAAAACAACATATTACAGAACCAAGCCAAAAAAATCAATAAATGCAGTATATCAAATGAAACAATATATACAAGTTGGGAATGAGAATTCCCCAAGTACATCCATCCCACGATACATCTAAGAAAAATAGAATCATATTAAATATCAATCAGACCAACCACTTACAAAATCAAAACAGCAACATCCAAAAATCCATCTTAAAAAAAAAAAAAAAAAACAGAAAAAAAGAAAAAGAAAAAGAAAAAGAAAAAGAAAAATGTCTAACCTTAATGTAGGCCTCCGGATTAGGGCAGTTTTGTTGTTTAGATAAGCTGAGTGTGCACTCTGCTGCTGTGCGACCATCTCTACGCGCAACAGCCTTAAAGAATTCCAGCAAATTCACTCTGTCACTCTCAGAAAGTTCAGCAGTCATGCCTACATCAAGGAAGATGACATGAGGCTTAGATTTAAAGAGCCGTTTCCGAGAAGACTTGCCTTGACCAACCCGAACAAGGATATTTCCAGGATGCATATCTGCATGAATAAAGTTGTCCACCTGAAAAGGGAGAAAATTATAGCTCGGGATGCCTGATCAGTACGTCATTAACTATTCAAATCACTAAGAGAGTCAAAATTTTCATAACTCATTACTAACAGAACAGTGACAAACAAATCAAGCATATTGTAGTAGAGCATAAGGTTGTTTCATAGTGAGAAAGAGTGGGTGTAGGCAGAAATTATACCGAGAGAGAGAGAGAGAGAGAGAGAAACAAAAACCTATAATGTTCCAGAATATACTTTAGAAACACCACAAAAGATGCAAATCTTAACTCAGATAGAATAACCCAAAAATAGTTCCTACCTTAATTTTAGAACATCATTGTATGGTAGGAGAAAAACCAAAACCATGGTTGCATAAAACATTTTCTTTTTTTCCCAAAGGGAAGGAAGCATAATTATCAAGATTGTGCAAATTTTATTTTATTTTTTATCGGCCAAGATTGTGCAATTTATCCTCCTCAAGAAAATACCAAACCAAATTAGGTCAACTAATGCTAAAGAAAGTTTGACCCCAAAGTGGACAAAGCATGTACATTCAATATAGTTTCATGTTGGTAATACTCAGTAATTCAAACGAGATCATATTTATCAAGCAGGCACATATCAAGATGACTACATTTTTTTTTTAAAATGTTGAAACCTAGGTGGTAGCTTATCCAAAAGACAATAGGACTGCCGTCTATATTTCTTTGTTTTTTTTTTTTTTTTTGGAAAGTGTCCATGTTAGAATCATTATAAAATTAATAAAACTGTTTGTCAGTTCCCTCCAATTTTGTAATGGTTGGTGTGGTGTCTATTTACAAGGGGATGAAGTTATACTGGATGTTACCACAGAGTTTGAATATTTAGTCTTTTTCCCGAAATACAGAATAGTGAAAAAAACATATAATTTACAGAAGAAAATGCATTAGGAACATTGTTAGAAAAACATATATTTTACAGGAGAAAATGCATTAGGAACATAATCTACAAAGGACAAAACTATAGTTGAGGATTTGGAGAACACTTCAGATATGGATACAAACACCCTCCGAAGTTGGAAAGAAGCCATCAAAGACCCAGCTCACCTAAAGAATAGAATTATAGTTAGCTTATCCAATTTTCACTTCTTCCATGACATTTATATGTGTTGTTTTGAATGTATTTTCCTCAGCATCCCACAAAAAACAAATTGGGTATGGAAATCCTGTTTTTCTCTATAGAATTCCAAATGACCAAAGCACCCCAAGGCCACAGATCATCAAGGAAGTTCAACACAATTCACAAAGGCCTGTTGGATCTTTTTTAAACTCAAGTCCACATGGAAGTCAAATGCCACCAAGTTCTTCTGTAGAGTTTTGGGGAAAATTGTATGTTCCTATAGAGATATAGTGAGATCTTTTTTAATGTATACATCATATGTTCAACGTTTGAGTCCCCAGTTGTTCAATACAATTCACAAAGGCCTGTTGGATCTTTTTTAAACTCAAGCCCATATGGAAGTCAAATGCCACCAAGTTCTTTTGTAGAGTTTTGGGGAAAATTGTACATTCCTATAGAGATATAGTGCGATAATTTTTAATGTATACATCGTACGTTCGGCATTTGAGTCCCCGGTTGTTGGCGCCCATCTAATACAATTTACTTCTCAAAAAAGATTGTCACCAAGTTTGTTTCATACCATCTTATGGTTGAAAAAATTCAAGGATTTCCTGCAAAACCCCAAGATGTGAAAAAGGGAGTATGCTAGGAAAGTGGTCTATGAAAATTGTGCAGCAAAGAGAAGAATGGAGGGAGACTTTTACTTACCATTCAAACAGAGGCAGTAAAGTGGGTGGTCTGAAAGGACCATGGCCCTGCAAAGTTTATAGTTCTCTTTACATATTGATTACTGTTTAAAATGATTTCTTCCCAAACATAAACTGCCCTATCTCCCTTCGTTCATCGTTGTTCGTCCTCCTTCATTCCGAAGTATTAATTTCATTTTTAGATTAAATATAAAAATTATGTAATAGATTTTTAAATCATATAATTTTTATTCAAACCTTGTGTTACTACACAAGATTGCCTAAAATAAGTATTTCAAGCCTCATAATCATTCAAACCTTGTATTTCAAGCCTCACTAAGTATTTCCCCGGAAGCACCATTTTACAAATAATAGATAGTGCTCACATACAAAAAAATTACCAGAACATCTCCAACCAAACCTTTGAAGCCAAACAAAAGTAACAAATAAACATTTGCAGACTATCATGCAAGTGAAATACTACATATTCCTACAATGATATGGTCTATCTTCTTATATTATGCATTCTGTTGTTGTTATAGATGGGAAATAAAAATAGAAATATATGTAAATGTTTCACATGGTTCTGTATCCAAGTTCTTTGCAGGTTTCAAAAGTTTCTAGTTTGAGATAATGAGAACTCTAGGCCAATTTAATCCCCAATTCATGACACCCCTAAAAAACGCAAAATGTCTTGCAGCCTGGACTTCATCTCTTCCATAGCAGGATGATTTGAATTTACTGAAAACAGGGACTTTAACATTACAACTAAGGCTTTCATAGTGATGAGCAATATGAGACTGAAGTTAAATCAGCTCTTCATCAGCGAGAAGATATACAGCATGGTCAAGAGTGACAACCCCTAAATGTTTAAGCTAGCATCCACAAATATCAAACAAACCTTTAATGGAGTTGGAAATAAAATAGCAAACAAGCAATGCAACCACAAAAATTGTGGGATAGAGGGAGTAACACACATGCAAAGCAAAAAATTAAATATCTTACCAGAAGCATCTTTAGAAGTGCATGAGTCCCAATGTGTGCAAGTATGCTTTTAATCTGAGCATGTCCTTCAAGCTCATCAACATAGTGCGCCACACTTTCCCCTTGCTCAAAAGTTTCAACCAAAACGGCAGGATGCACAAGTGGATAAACGGGCTTTGGAAACGAAACATCCTTCCATCCACGAAAATTATAAATAAAGCGGCTCAGATGGGCAGCTTCCCTTGCAAGATCAACTTGAGACATCATAAAAACTGCAAACTGCTGAACACTTTCATCCAATCTTAACCAATTCAGAGTAGGAATGAACTTTGAACACTTGGCTACTATATTAATTATCTCAAAATCTCTTCTAATTGATTCGCCAACACCAGGATGCCTAACCTTTACCGCAACTACAATAGGCTTGATCTGTCGACCGTGGTATCGATACTTTAAAGAAGCTCGATGGACTTGAGCAATACTTCCAGATGCTACAGGTGCCTCCTCAAAATTATCGAAAATTTCATAAAGTTTACGACCAAAAGCTCTTTCAATAGTCTTTTTCGTGTATGAAAAGCTGTGTTCAGGAGCTTTAGTGTGAAGTTTTGCCAGTTCAGTGCATAAATCTGTAGGGAAGAGATCTGGTCGTGTAGCTGCCCACTGGCCCCATTTTATGAATGCTGGACCTGCTCTTTCAAGCGTATGACGAACAACCTCAAGCCATACTTTTCTAAACTGAAGTCCAAAACAATCAGCAAATGGGGCCATTACGATGCAGGGTGAGAACAAAATTGCCAAATAACATGTTCTTAGCAACAAGATCACTGCTTCAAACACAGAATATAATAATGAGGTCAGAAAGGCATGCCCATCTTCTGCACGCATGTACAAGGTATTCCTTGAGTAGAATGGGTCCACATCGGCTGATGCGTGTGCCAATGCTAGATTACCACATGTCAGGGCAAATAAACCAGGAACAACTACGTAAGAGCGGCTCAAGGCCAAGCTAACTGCTTGAGCAATCCTACTTATGGATGAGAAAGCTTGGCTATTTTGAGAAGACTTCTGTGAGATTCTCCTCCAAGCAACTTGGGCATGATGCGCTACTGTGTTACTTGCAGGGATGGCAGAAAAATTCCTGGAGAAACCACTCCCGCAAAAACCACCCTTGGTTTTGTATGCTGTGAATGAAGCATGTCCCCTACTAGGAAAATTATATGGAGAGAATAATTTGTATTCGGGGTAATGTAGCCTGGCAGAAGCTACTGTCCCATACTTCCTGCCTTCTGAACAAATGGTCCTTTGGTTTGAACGAACAAAATTTGCAACTCTCCTAATATTACCAATTGTCAAAAGTCTGCATCCCAAACAATATCATCAATTACCATCATCAAAGATTGTATTGAAAGTGTGGCTTAATTGAAATGATTGTAATTCCATAAAATCTTAGTTTTGTAGCATTTATTTAATTTATTTTTTGGATAAATAATTAGTTTCTTAGTATACAAAAAAATAAAAAAATAAATATTGACAATTTACAACAAAAACAAATCTAACAGAGGAAACCTTTCATGATATGATTTTCTATCCTAATTACACCCCTTGAAAAGGCATCAATTTTCAATTCAACAGAAGCACCCCTCATAGAGATAGAGATATTGCACAAAAAATTTAATAGACATGATAGGGAAGCCATGTAGCCAGACAATCTGTTGCCCTTTTCATTTGAAATGAAAATGATCATGGCCCTCTCATTATTCTATTATGAGTTTGAGTATAACAATTTCTGCTTATTAAGCTAGAGAAAATAGTATTTTCCAAGAAGATTCTACGCTTTCCAATTTCAGCTCAAGCTCTGTTGAACCCATAAACTGTAGAGCCAAATATGTCACCTTATTCCAAAACCTAACCCTAAAAATTCAGACTTTCCAATTCATTTTAGAAGATTAAACACTCAGCCCATAATTGAATACCAAATAACAAAAGAATAAAAAAGCATACAGAGATTCAAAATTATCCAAATTTGACAATCCCATGAATTACAAACCAAACCCACCTGAAATAGCTTCAAAAACAAACCCTAAACTCAACCCAACAATTGCAAATCTCAATAAAAACAGAAAACCCAGAAAACCTTAAAAGAAGCTGAGAATTATGGACCTCGACATGGCGATTTGTTTTCAATGATACGGGTAATAATTAACAGATGCAATTTGGTTCTTGCCAACATTTTCTGTACCGTATGAATCGATGATTCATCTGAGACTCTCTCTCTCTCTCTCTCAACAACCTCTAGCGCCGCCACCGCCGCCGTCCTTGTAGTTTATCGGCATAGAGAGAGGTCGGTGAGTCGCGTGTATTTGGTGAGACTATCGGACAAAGCGAGTTTTGTTCAATATACCTAGCGACGCGAGAGAGAGAGAGACCGAGTGGGTCCGGGATGGTTCCAAGAAAATGTGAATGGGTTCGTCAGACCAATGAGCCAGTGGGGGGTGATTGACTCGTGGGGCTTGGCGCCGTGATTGTTCGGCTACGCTTAAACGTCTCGTCACCAAAGAAACTCGTAATCGAACCGTTGGTTTCATTTCATTAGACAAAAAATAAAAATAGAATTTTTAAGGTGATTTTAGGTTTGAAAAAAAGGTTTGGTTTCTTCCAAATTAAGATTTTAATTTGAGAGAATTTTTAGGTTTGTATGTGGGTGATTTTCCGACCACACTAACTGCTTAGTAATCAGTTGGAGAGCACTGACAGAATAGATGGCACCTGACTGACCTACAACAGAAATATAACAATCCCGCGGTGGTTTCGACCACCCGGGGACACTCCGACGATCAAATCAGTATATCTCTCAAAGATAAATCAAGTACTAAACTCACAAGTTTGAGTATCAAAAGCATACCTTAGACCCATGGAGATGCCTCTCTTTTATAGCCAATACAATCCTAGTCCCAAAAAGAGCCTGGCCCTAATGGACTTAGGATTACTGCTAATCTGGGACTCCCAATAAGATTAGAATAAACTCTCTAAGAGTCTTATCTTAATACAAACTGAAGTCTTCTCCCAATCTAGGACTCTTGTCCCTCATCCAGGTTGAGTTCCATTTTCATTCTAGGACTCTTGTCCCTTACCCACTTATCTCGGATTCCAATATCTTCAGAGATAACCTCGGCCTTGCCAAGATCACCTCGGCGTCACGATCAGGACACGTGGCACCTCGGCTGACACGTCGGCGTCACCTTGCTACGTGTTGGTACTCAAAAAATATATCCCCACAACTGCCCCCTAGATTCTATTACCTTGGGCATTCTGAGGTGATGGAACCTACACTGTTCGTTCATCTGTGCCCCTCTGTTCGAGATCAAACTCGCCGACCTCAAAGTTCTTTGGAGTTTCTGTCCACTGGTGTCAAGAATCAAGTTTCATGCTTTCCAAGCTGCTTGAAATCACACCTCCTAGCCGAGATTTTGGTTCCATTAATTCGTAAACTCCAAGAGTTTTGCAACTGCTTCACTCACACTCTCTAGTGAGTTCCCGATTTCCAGTCATCTATTTGACTCCGGCGATTTTCATATCGGCGTTCATTTCACTTTGTAGGTTCGTAAACTCTTTACTTTTTTATAAAGCTCAATCTTTCATAACTCTTCTGATTTACTTTGAATCTGTTTATTTGCTATCTGTGGCCTTCTGTTCTCGTCTGTCTTCAAGTTTTTGATTTCTTATTGCTAAAATGCCTGGAACTGTTCTTTGTCATATCCGCTTTTTGTTGTTAGCATCATGTCTGGTTCATTACTTTCTTGTTCTTCACATACTTACTTAGTGCCTGTGCACTTGGCTTTATTCTTTGAACTTTGTCATCTTCTTGACTATTTTTCTCTTTTTGTTTTTCTTGTTGTATTTCCAGATTCTTGCCTTCGTTTCTATTTTTTGCATAGTCTTAGAACCACGTCCCTTCTTGAAATTGTTGCCAAGATAGTGGTAGAGAAGCTCTTCCAGCTGACTGCCAATGCTGAACCACCGTCAACCGTTTGAAGTAGATTAGTCCGACGTTCAATTTATGGCATTTGACCTCGGGGTCAATGCCAGGCATTTCATAAGGTGTCCAAGCGAACACCTTTATATTTTCTCTTAGAAAAGGTTTCCAGTTTTCTTTCTTCTTCTTTGGTTAAGCCCGAGCCAATAAGAAAGAAGCGTTTCTTGATCATCCTCCTGGACGAGGGCTTTCTTTAGTGCTTCTTCACTCTTCTCGGCTGGTTCCTTGCCGACATCATCTAGGACCATTATGTCCTTGTTTTCAATCTCTGCCTTCTCTGGTTCTCGAATGCTGCAGGGGGATTTCATTGCTGCCATGGAGCAATTCTCCGCCTGTAGTTGATCCCCTCTGACTTCTTCAAGCCCATGTTCTGTTAGGAACCGCAGTAGTTGATGCAGCGTTGAGGGAACTGCCCCCATTGTATGCAGCCATGGCCTTCCCAAGATGATACTGTATGGTGAGGGCGTGTCAATCACCATGAATTCTGTCTTGATCTTCTTCTAACTGCTCTTGCATGATTCTATACTTAGAATATTTTGCATGCCTTTCATACTTTGCCTCCTTTGTGCAATCTTCTCGGGGTTACATACCTCGGGTATAATAGCTACAAAACTTTGGGAACCGCAGTAGTTAATGCAACGTTGAGGGAACTGCCCCCATTGTATGCAGCCATGGCCTTCCCAAGATGATACTGTATGGTGAGGCGTATCAATCACCATGAATTCTGTCTTGATCTTCTTCTAACTGCTCTTGCATGATTCTATACTTAGAATATTTTGCATGCCTTTCATACTTTGCCTCCTTTGTGCAATCTTCTCGGGGTTATATACCTCGGGTATAATAGCTACAAAACTTTTACTTCGGCAAGATACTGACCTGTAAACTTTTCATAAATTCTAACAAGTGTGAAACATATACTACTCAATGTTAACTTTGCAAACTTTTTCTTAAGTTTCAACAAGTGTTTAAACGATGATCTCGGTCTAGCCTACTTGTAAATTGCTACAAATTTCAACAAGGATTAACATATACTGTAATAGGGATCAACAAGGATTAACATACAAATGTTAAACAATAATCTATTTGTAAATTGTTACGAATTTCAACAAGTGTTTAAACAACATACTTAGCTCTTTCCTCAACCTGTAAATTGCTGCAAATTTTAACAGATTAACGTTATCTTGTAAATTGCTACAAATTTCAACAAGTGTTAAGCATCTTCTTTGGTTTAACCAACCTGTTAGTTGCTTACAGGATAGGTTTACAGCAAGTAACCACTCGGTTTGCGCTTCAAACTCGTAAATTTGCTCGACCATTTAAACAAGCGAAGAGAAACAGTAATCTTGGCTTAAATTCAACTTGTAAATTTATAAATTTTCAACAAGTGAAGGTAAGAGAATAATCTCAGCTTAACTTTCAACTTAATAAATTGTTACGGCCGAGTCATTTCAACAAGTGGAAGATAAGGAAACCATCTCGGCTGCTTAATTTCAAATTGTAAATTGCTGCAAATTTCAACAAGTGAAGGTAAACAACCATCTCGGCTTAACTTCAACTTGTAAATTGCTACAAATTTCAACAAGTGAAGATAAGGAACCATCTCGGCTTAACTTCGGTTAAGCATTATCTTGACTTAACTTCGGTTAAGCATCATCTCGGCTTAACTTCGGTTAACCATCATCTTCGTTTAACCAACTTGTAAATTGTTCACAAATTTCAACAAGTGTTAAACAATGATCTCAGCTTAACTTAACTTGTAAATTGTCCACAAATTTTAACAAGTGTTAAACAATGATCTCGGCTTAACTTAACTTGTAAATTGTCCACAAATTTCAACAAGTGTTAAGCAATACTTTTCGGTTTAACCAACTTGTAAATTGTCCACAAATTTCAACAAGTGTTTAAGCAATACTTTTCGGTTTAACCAACTTGTAAATTGTCCATAAATTTCAACAAGTGATAAACGCATTCTTCTTCTCTACGCCCCCAGTGTGAACTTAAAATCCACTTGGGTTCTCATCATACATGTAGCTTCGACCTTGTCGCCGAGGTTGAATTCAAGCCGAGGTTGTCGGCCTTGGTTTCTCTATTGATCTTACTTGGCTCCAACCTGAGTTTGATTTTCAGCCTCGCATCGGCGAGCCGTTTCTCTTTTCTCATCCTGACGCCTTTGTTCCCGGTATGTCCTCCTCGGCCCTAGTATACTTCTCAATTCTGGCTAACTTTAGTCTGATCTTGTGTATTTTCTTTTTATCTTCTGGGATCTGAGATCTGCTCATAGTGCTCTTCTCTTCTCAGACTCAAGTGCCGAGGTCTTGTCTGCTGGAATCTTGGATCTGCTCTCTCAGGTTGAACTCTTCTCTTCTCGGACCTACTCATCTAGGCCGAGATCATGCCTTCTGGGATTCGGGATCCAGGATCTGGAATCCGGAATCTACTCACTTAGGCATGAGCTCTTGTCTTCTCGGACTTACTTATTTAGGCCGAGATCTTGTCTTCTGGGATTCGGGATCTAGGATCTGGAATCCGAAATCTGCTCACTTGGGCTGAGCTTTTCTATACTTGAATGTCATCTCCTTGGGAGCACTCATGCCCCCTGTCTTTGCATCCCTTCTGGAAGGGTCGTCACTCCTTTTATGTCGACGCATTCTTCATCTTTGCTAAACTCGTCGTTTTCGATACGTTGATCTTGTATAGTGATGGCTATCTATTCTCCTTTCTTTCCCACAGACGACGCCAAATTGTGTGGGTGATTTTCCGACCACACTGCCCGCTTAGTAACCAGCTGGAGAGCACTGGCAGAATAGATGGCACCTGACTGACCTGCAACAGAAATATAAGAATCTCGTGGTGGTTTCGACCACCCGGGGGCACTCCGACGATCAAGTCAGTATATCTCTCAAAGATAAATCAAGTACTAAACTCACAAGTTTGAGTATTAAAAGCATACCTTAGACCCATGGCGGTGCCTCTCTTTTATAGCCAATACAATCCTAGTCCCAAAATGAGCCTGGCCCTAATGGACTTAGGATTACTGCTAATCTGGGACTCCCAGTAAGATTAGGATAAACTCTCTAAGAGTCTTATCTTAATACAAACTGGAGTCTTCTCCCAATCTAGGACTCTTGTCCCTCATCCAGGTTGAGTTCCTTTTTCATTTTAGGACTCTTGTCCCTTATCCACTTATCTCGGATTCCAATATCTTCGGAGATAACCTCGGCCTTGCCAAGATCACCTCGGCGTCACGACCAGGACACGTGACACCTCGGCTGACACGTCGGCGTCACCTTGCCACGTGTTAGTACTCAAAAAATATATCCCCACAGTTTGATAAGTTTATTTGACAATCAATTTCAATGATCTGAATCATTATTTTTTATACTTATTGAATAGGATATTAATATAAAAAATCAAGATGACT